TGGCACCTTTTGTCTACCTCTTCATCTGCGCATGGGCATCTCAGTGGTTCCACCTTTTGGCTGCTGGGGACAGTGCTGTGGCGAACACTGGTGGCCGGCCACCGGTGCTTCGTGAGACTACGGGTGGCCTGGCATGAGTTCAGTGGGCCGGGCTGGAGGAGTAGCGTGGAGAAGAGGCTACTTATCACTGTCCTCCCACCAGGTCATTTTAGGAAGACCCGATTAAGAAGAGGCTGGACCCTTCGGAACAGCCCTGAAGAGCTGGCAGAGACTCACTGAGCCTCTGGCCCAGTGGTTCCCCATAATCCTTTCCTCCCCTGACATCTTACGTGCAACTCAGGATGCAGACCATCAAAGCAGCATTTGAGTGGAATACATTGACTTGGGAACTAGAAGCATATCGTGGTGCTGGAGTGCATGCATCCAGGAGACAAGACCTGGACTGGAATCCAGGCAGGTCTCCCACTCACTCAGAGGCCTGGGATTTCGGGATTTCATCTCTGTCTCACATGCAAAACAGAGCTCAGCCTCATGAGCGCTTACCTGGAATGAGAGCTGCTTCTTGTCCGGGGCGTTGGCTGTTTGACTGGGGCGGGCGATGGTGGACACACCGTTCAGGTTCTGTGGGGATAAAGGCCATGGTCAATGACCAGGAAGAGGATGGGGGGAGCAGGAGGTATGAGCAGAAACTGGAGACGTGCTAGTAAGCTTTCCGGGGCACCCTGGGCCTCAGTGCCATGGGGACCAGAGACCAGAAGCTGGGGGAGCATGTGCTGGGGCGGCTGCCAAAGGCCTGCTCCCAGGTGCCCTGGAAATCAGTCAGGCTTCCCACTTAAAGGGCTTTAAAACCTGGCAGATCCCATTAAAAGGCAGCCTGACCACCTGGGGCTTGATTAGCAAAGGACCCCGCCCCCCAAACAAAACAAAACACCCCCCACTGCCATCCAGTCACTTCTGACCCACAGAGGCCCAGTGGGGCGGGGTAGAACTGCTCCTAGTATTGCTCAGGCTGTGAAGATTTGTTCTTCCACCTCCATGGGAGCAGACAACCTCATTTTTATTCCTTGGGAGAGGCTAGGGGGTTTGAACTGTGGACCTTTTGGTTAGCAGCCGGAGGTTTAACCCACTGCATCTACTAGGCTCCTTATTAGGGAAAGAAGAACTCTTTGCCTTTCTTTAATCCAAAGAAAAGGAAGTTACCTGGCCGTTCTGCCTGTCGTGAAGAGAGAGACGGGGGTGGTGGTGGTGGTGGTGTGTGTGTGTGTGTGTTGGAGTAGGGGATGGGGAGAGTGGAAGCAGGGTGCGAGTGACCTTTGCTTTCCTTCCACTGTGCCCCCTCTCATGCTGAGCTGTTTGTCAGGGGAAGCCCTCTGGGACTCTAGGGATGGGTCTATGACTGGGCTCCTCCTGGCTGTCCGAGGGTTGATTCACCAGAAAGAAGGTTCCCCTGCATTCCCAGAGCTGAGGCTGAGGATGCCCGGCCCTTGGGACTCTGAAGTTCCTCCTGGTGCCCCTCCATTCTGGAGTCTGGGGCGGGGTGGGATGTTTGTGCTCAGCTGGAGGCCGAGCGGCCAGGATCTCCATCTCGGGGTGATGGAGAGGGACCCTGATGCTGTCACCCTGGCCAGAAACAGCCAGGCCCTACCTTATTCTGCATCAGGGAGAAGTCAGCCGTGGGGGTTCTGGAAAGAAGCAGAGGGCGAGGGAGGCAATGGTGGAGCAGCCCCACGAGGCTCAGCCCTCATGAGTCCCCCCTACTCCCCCATCCCATGTTGAGGAGAAATGACATCACTCTTCCACCACAAAACCAAACTCACTGCCACCGGGTCGATGCCCTCGCCTAGCCACCGCATAGGACAGGGTAGAACTGCCCTGTGGGTTTCTGAGAGCCTAACTCAACGGGAGTAGAAAGCCCCGTCTAGCTGGCTGGTGGTTTGAACTGCCGACGACGACTGCAGCATTCTGACCCAGAGCGAAGACTAGCTGAGCTGCCCCTTCCGCCCCTCTGAGGGTGCAGGAAGCCGGGGGAGGCAGGGCCGAGAAGACATTCTCTGAAGGGACACTGGCACTGGGGTACCGGGCGCCACGGCTGGGTCTTTGTCCTCAGGGTCGCTGGGTTTACTGAGACCCCCATTTGCACACAGGATGGAAGGAGGCAGAGTCGGGGCACAGGAGCGAAGTTTGGGCTCAACAGGTATTGTCTGTCTGACTGAGGGGCCTGAGCCAACCACTTTCTCCAAGGAGAAGCACGGGAGGTAGTTCTCTCCTGATGGAGGGAAAAGCAAGTGGGAACATGGAAATGGGAGAGGCTCTCTAAGGGACTCTACCTCGGGGGTGACAGAAAAATGGGGACTGGGATTGAGAAAAGCAAACAACTGAAGTAATAGATGCAAAGCACGTGGAGTTCTCCCCTGGAGTAAGGAATAGCGGGTCACGGGCTC